ATTATTATACTATACTTCATTTTGTTAAGTTTATATGAAGTATCATATCGCTAGAATTAACTATAGTATTGACGATCACAAGAAATACTTTTACAAGTACAATAAAAATGTTTAAATTTTATAAAGACAAGTAGAGGTCGATATATACGTAACCTAGCTAGCTACAAAAAGTATTGAAACATGAAAGTCAAACTACAGAAACTGAGTTACTTCATTTAAAAAAAAAAACATCCCTACTTTGGCAAATCACTATAATTATGTCAAGCTAGAATTAACTAAAACTGATTTATCACGACCAAGTGAAATATCTTTATGGTTAGAAATAACTAAAACACTGATGTCTCACGATCACCAGAAGTGCCGTTGTGGCCAGCATCAAAGGGTCAAGGGAAGGATAGCAAAAACATATTAGTTGTAATTTATAAACACAGTGTGTCATCGTTTATGTTTCTACGTTTTATCACAAGGAAGTAATAAGCGTGCTTGTTTTATGTTACTGTAAAAGCTACCATACGACCAAAATTGTTAGCTTCGTTCTCAACTACGTGTCGTTTTTGGAAATATAAATTACCAGCTGATGTACCCGTTCAATGCATGGGGAGAATATATGGGCCACTGGGCGTAACGTAGTGGTGATGAACTCCAAACGCTGATCCCCCTTTGGCATTAATCTGGATACCCTAAGGGTACATGATAGGTCTGGTGATAACCGGTCCAGCACTTCTCCAGTTATAAGCGGACATACTTTTGTCAAACAATGGTTTAAGATACTCAGTAATGGCACTGACTGGCTTCATACTTAACTTAATATGAGAAAACTTTGCGGCTGAACTTGAAAGACTGCTTGCGTAAAATATAACTTTGCTCAACTTCGATATTTCAATCTCCTTCGCCAAATCGTGCTTGCAGTATCGACATCAAATGCGCTCCATGTTCAAATCTTGGTGTCTCTATCTATTGTTTTTTGTTTCTCAGTTCATATTCAGCAAACAAACAATGAAAGAATGCCACATCGCACATCAATTCTCATATGTTTTGAGTTGAGTAATCCAACTTTTCCATGTCTTGAGATGGAATGCCCTACATTTGCACGTCAACCTAGTTACATTTGCACGTCAGCCTCCATCACTAGTTACATTTAACCCTAAGAAAAGCATTTTTTATAACATAAGTCACAGCTTCGAATGCTCAAAAACTTGTACATGTATATATTATTTTTAGTTGTATTATAAATTTATAAAATCAGTATGTTGTTTTAAGGTAAACTGGGAATTTTTGATTAATTTTTCAGCAGGCAAGTGTGCATCACATTCACAAGTGAAATAATTTAGACACATACAAGTATTTCTACTGTTTAATTTTTAAAATTACCCTCATTTTTTAGATTTTTCAAATATAATCTAAACTGCCAATTTTTTGGCCATTTTACAATATGTAACTTGTACTTTAGAATAGTAGAACATAAATAATAAAGTGTTTTTTTTATATGTTTCTTACACTATAACATATTTCGAAACTAAGTACAAATGGGAGGAAATACCATTAATAGCTTTTCCCTCTCATTACAATCAATGATGCACAGTAAAATAATTAAAAGAACACTGAGTAACAGTTGACGGAAATTAGTATCGGTTAGAATGATTACGACCTTTACTAAATCATCGTTATATAATTATATTAAAAATTACATTACTCTCAACAGTTTATTTACATTCCACAGATGTTCGAGTTACATCAGCTACTTTTGTCTAGTTAAACTATAAAAATAGACGTGTTCAATTGTACAATCCATAGGGCTTTCAAGCGCTCGCTTAAAATGACTAAAGGCATGAAAGCCCATTGGAGCGGCATCAGGACAAGCATGTGATTGAACAGGACTGTCCTGATTGCAGTATATTCGTCGATCTTTCTCCTGAAAACAACCTGAGATCTCAAGGTGTGTTTAAAAGCTTATGATCTTCAAAATCTTACTTATTCTCTTGATGTTAAAAGAAGATATGCCAAGCTTCATCATAGTGGTTTTTTGTGTCAGAAAATTGCGTCTTGTAACCATAACTATCACTTCATAGATTAGTATTTTGGCTTTGGTTGATTTGCGATGTGGTTTCGGATTCAATTACTGCTCTAAAGGTTCTGCTGAGGAAATGTTTTTCACTGAAACACAAATCATTGGATGTGTCCTTTGTTTTGACATCTTTTAAGACTCTTGTCATATGAATATTTTTCATCGAATGGAAGTGTTACACAATCAATCAGAAAAGTCACCGTAACTAATTTATATGCGTCTACATAAGCTGAAAATAAACCTTTGTAGATTTTGACTTCGTTGTTGTTTCAAAATTTCACGCAAAACTTTACAAGGGTTATGTGCGCATAGCTGTACTTAATTTGTAACTGATAGCCATTCTTTGGTTTATACTTGTATGAAGGAATTGTGGAGTTTGACAGCCACTCTTATAGAATAATTATAGTCATAAAGTGCTTTTGCATTTTTGTTGTGACGGGTCGCAAACTTAGAATCCTCGGACAAGCTGTTCGAACACACTAATCACTAGGCCACGCCTGGCTCACACTCTTTAGACACAATATACTTCCCATTCTCTTAATTTTTTTATACTTACGTTTTGCATTATATTCCTTTTATTGAGATTCTTACGTACTTATATCTTTAGAGTAAGTTGCATCTGTAAACTAGACTATATCTAACTAATACTTATTTTATATACTAAGATTGTAAACTAGAAAAAAGGATGCTTTTTGTCTATTTGTAGTACACTTTTGTCCAAGTCACCGTTAAGTTTCCGGTCTTATAATGCTAAAATCCGAGGTTCGCTCACTGAGGTGGACATATCACTAACAGCCAATTGTGAAGCTTTGCGCAAAAAACAAGAACATCGTAGACTTTTTTCAATAAACTGATTCTCTAGACTAGTCACATATGTGCTTTTTACCTCGTATTTAATAATAAAACACGGAAGATTTGTATTAAAAACAGATAGAAAGTATATTTGTGTCTGCTTTAGAACTGTACTATATTGCAAATATATTCATGAATAACAAAAGTAAAGTAGTAGCTAGTTTTGAGATTCATTTTATTGTAAGATGTATATAATTGTATGTAGTTTAGAGCAGTGGTTCCCAACCTGTTAAGCGTGATCCTAGGGGTACACAAAACCTTTGAAATAGACATTACAAATATAACAAAACCCATCTCTCAAACTTAGACGGCATTCGTGGTGCGTTATTAACGTGTTTCACTAGTCAGCACTCATCAGTTGTATTGTAGAATTAATTTTGAATTATTGCATTTGGTTTATCTTTTTATTAAGACAAACTATTTTTAAGTTGTTTTTTAAGCAAATTATATGCGTCAGGGGTACGATTTTGGCTCAAAGGTCTGGCTGGAACATGAAAAGGTGAAGAACCGGTTTAGAACTACAGTCATACAGTCTTGGTCAAAATATTAGCATACTGTTCTATATTGATGTTATTGTCTACATGCATCGAGTAGTTATTGAATAAATGCTCGAGTAGTAGCAGAGAAGATAGCGTAGGATCGGACAAACAAGTACGAGTCGTTATTTTGGTCTGTATAAATTGTTTTGAACATTTGTTCCTCAGCACACATATACAAAACTGTTTTGCTATACTTTTGATATAATTTTTTTGGAAACAGATCAACTCTTTGTTAAAGCAGTTTCTCTGTACTTGGTGTAGAGTTATAGGGTGTCAAATTGTTCGACTATCCAGAATGGTATGAAGCGAACGGACATTACCAGAACAGTAGAGTACACTCAGTGTACTGTACCCAGAATTCCGCAACGTCATCGGACTACATGAAACGATTTTGTTTTTTTTCATAAAAGTATACTGGTAGATGCCGAAAAACTATTGCCCGAGATAATCGTGTTTTGATCAGGTTAACACGTCAAGATCAAAAGAAGTTTTGCAACATTTTACGACAGGAATGACACACACATATAATATATATAGGTAGGTAGCTTTAATTTTCAGAAGAAAGAGAAAAGAAAAAGGCAACCAGAAACATCCAACATCAGGTCACGAAGCATAAGTGGGTAATTATGTTATGTGCGTTGGAAGTAAGACCCGAATTGTGTTGGAGGTACTCAATGTACTTGGTTTAAACTCAATTTTAATGGCTTCACAACATGCTTAAAAAAAGATAAAAGGAGTAGATGTAAGTGCTCAAGCTCACAACGTCCCACAGCTTCACCATTTTTGTTTGTAGAGTATATTCTATAATGATAAATATCATACACTAAATGTGGTGGATTTCTAAAATGCGAAAGAATAGATGTATATTTTCTTTAGACCATACCTTTTATTATAAGAAATAGTAAAAATAACAAAATTGAGATATTTTGTAAAGAACTTGTTTGTTTAATCTTCTATGATAAAATGCATTATGATTGCCAACTTGACACAATATTTAGTTGTTATTGAACTCTGCGAAGTATAAGAATTGTACATAAACTTTCTTCAGTTATAAACTATATTCATTAGTGAAAAATGTATTGACTACCTAATTATTTGGTGAACTAATAAGTTTAAATGTTATTGTGCTCATAAAGGGAAGTTTGAAAATTTGAAAAACAACAACAACATGGAAATAGAGTTTCTGAGTCATCAACAAATATCTAAACTAATATATGTTTGAAACAATATTAAGTGAAAGTATAATTCTCTATTTATGATAAAACAGTTTCAAAGTATTAAGGCACCTTGTACTTTAAACAACTAGTTAAATGCCTTAGGTGAATACGTCATGTGTTTTTACATGTCATCAGATTTGATGAATCAGTCCAAAATTATCAAAAGGGTTGAAAGAGTTTATACTGTTTGGAGTTTTCATGAGTAACCTATCTGTAGTATTTAGTAAACATTCGTTATAACTATTTTTAAATGAAAAGTTCTGCAGAAAAAATTGTAAGAATATTACATAATTACGTAAGTTTATCAGAGTTTATCGAGATTTTAGCCTTATTTGAAGAATGCCTGTATGCAAAAAGTTTTAGTAGAGTTTTGTGAAAAATGTTACAGAAAGGTAAGAATCATAGTTTTAATTTCTACAATACTAATGTTTAAATATAACTATTTGTGTAGATAGTTTAAAACTAAACTTTAGCAGAACAGTTATATAAGTTAACTTATACATATAAACACGAAATTTGAATTATTTTATATCATTTATACATTTTAATGATTGTCCTTTTCAGGGTGTATAAATTTAAAATTATCTTATACCATATAATAATTATGGAAATGAAAAGTATAGAACAAATGAAAATGCAAAAAGTATGTCATTGAAATTAAAAGTAGAAAGAAAAGCTTTAACCATATACTATAATATGTTAAATTTGTACTAAATCAATTCTTATATCATAAAAATACAATCGGCTATGGAATAATAATGGTTTTATTTATAAAAACGAAACATTAGGTGTAATAAAAAATTTAAGGAGAGATAATTGCATGATATATATCAATTACAGAAGCAAGAACTATAAAACTAATGAATTAATGAATTGTTTTATATATAAAGTAATGAATAATTGTAAAAGCATGTAATGTAATTATCGTCTATGATATAATATCTGCCTCATTCAAATAATGGATTTA